TTTTTGTTCCCTTCGCCCGCATAAAATACGTATGTCTATATATAACCTCTTCTGTTTGCGTTGCCCCCACCTCCGGTGAGGCAGCTGCGGCGGCGGAAGTGGGGCCTCGGCGTGCCTAAACGCACAGGGCGCTCGCCACCGGCGAGCAGCAGGGCCGCGGAAACTTCCGACGGTGAGTGACTGCCGTCCACGGGCAGCCAAATGCGCCACGAGAGGAAATAAAAAACAGCAACAGGCGACGACGAAACAACCAAAAAGAAAAACACACACACGCAGGGAAACAGAACAGCCGCGGAAAAGCACATGAAGTGGAAAGGGCGCGGAGTGCGTGGTCACACTATTGCGTGGGGCCCCCCTTTTGTTGGGGGCCACCGCACGCCACCACGCCGCACGCGCGCGCAGGAAACAACGGGCCGTCGACTGGCGAAGTGGGGGGAGATGAAACGTCGACGGAAACAAAAAGAAACACACACACACATAACTAAAAAAGGAAAAGAAAAAAAAAGGCGGAGGCGACCAGGCGGGCGAAGAAGTTCCCTCCGTTAATATGTCTGCTGCGGAGCTGGAGGTCGCGCCGGGCCGTACACCCGGGTGTAAATATGAGATAACTGCAAGGCGAAGGAATCCCACGCGGAGAAAAAAAAAGAGAGAAAAAAGAAAAGTGACGCAAATCAACAGGAAAAAAAAAAGAAAAAAACGGGTTTCAAATAAAATAAAGAAAAGAAAAAGAAAAGAGGGGGTGGGGGCGCTGTGCACCTCCTCCCCCCGCACCCACACACACGCGAGACGGGAGGGGAGGGCGGATCGCCGGAGAAAAACACCGCAGGCCCCGATAAGAAAAACACACAAACAAAAAGAAAAAAGGCGTCCTGGAAGCGCGGGGCGCAGGAAAATAACAAACGACCACAACAAAAGACAGGGGAAGGGAAAAGCAGACGAATACGAAAAGCAAAAAACTGGAAAGTGGAGAAGTAACAACAAAAACGCAAGCAGGAGAAGAAAAAAAAACAGTGGAAAAAAAACGGGGGAACAGCATAATTAAATAATTCACTTTTTGAGAGACTGATGCTATTTTCTCCTTACTTACTACCTTCTGCAGCTTCCTCCCCAACGCTCCGAACTCTTCCCCTTCCACCCAGCCGAACTTTACTCCGTTAGTGAACTGCGATATTGCGACGGTCACCGACGCAGCAAAGAACTTTGCGGCGCTTCGAATGCATGCTTCTCGTCGTCTCCAACTCTGGCCAGTATGCATTCAGACAGTAACACGACATTTCGTCCCCACCATCGGTGGGAACCACTCGCAGGTTGAGGAGGTTCGAACTGCGGATGTACTCCGGCACGGTGATATGTTCCTCGTTCCTGCGCCGCACCAGATCCTTCAAGAGTCCCAAGATGGTGTACAGCGTGTAATCCTCTAGCTCCCCACCCTCATAGTCCGCCACAAGAACTCCATTTTGCTCAAAGCCGCGGATGCAGTCAGGTGTGTTCTCAAACACGATTGTCGTCTCCGTGTCTCTGCCGAGCAGAGACAGATCCTTGCTGCAGGAGCTTCCTCTGAACCATGTGCTGTCACGGGCAATTGTATGGTGCACACAGCCGTTGGTGTCAATAAGTCGGACAACCGCCTCCGCGTATTGCTTCATTCCCGCCGTCCACACCACCGTCTCACAATTTTCCTCCAAAAACTGAAGGAGTTCTTCTATGCCTGGCCGCACGTACAGCGGTCCTTCCCGTGCATACACAAGTGTTTCATCAAGGTCCAAGACAACGGTTATTCGGTCTGTCAGCGTGCTGGCCTTCGGTGCGAGAAGTGTTCGCTCCGTCACCGTCTCCAGCGCGCGTGCCTCGAGACGCGGACGCCGACGCATTGCGCAGGCGTACTCCTCCTTGAAACTCACACCTCGCACCCTCTGTTGACGCATGTGATACACGGGAAAGGGTATCTTACACAATATGTGTTTCCTACCAGAGTGTCACCTCCACCCCACGCCCACGCGCGGTGATCACACACGCACACGCCGCAAGAAGATCAAAAAAAGGAAGAGGAAGGCACAGAGAAAAAAAAATATCACACGCATGCATGTAGATAAGAAAAAAAAAGGCAAGCGAGCGAGACACGACAATAATGAAAAATAAATAAATAATAACAACAACAAAAGAATTAGAAGATAACTTCACATACGACCCAATATTTCACATTAAGAATGTAGTTTTTATGGTGATTGCGAGAATGTGCGCGCGGAGGACGGCGCCTTCTCAGAATGTTCCCCGAGTTTGTGGGCGACTGACTCTCGCTCACACGTAGGACAGCGGCAGGTGAAGAGGTAGTGCTCGTACAGCTCCTGCTGTCGTTCGGGATACGACAAGGTCTCATCAATGTAGCTGATGCATAGCTCCTCCCCTGGCTCAATGTCGCGCAGGGCGACGACCGACAGCATCTCATCACCAGCGTCGCTGTGTACCACCTGCAGGTTCGGGTCGCAGGAGTGGTTGAAGAGACATCCAACGGTGTATACGCCCTGACCCCGCGAGCTTTGCAGCAAATGTTGCACGTTTTTGCCTGCCAGCCGCACCTCGTCCTCAAATGCGTCCATAGTGGCTGCTCCGCATGGTAGGCGCTGCACAAGTTCCTTCAGTCGATCGTAGTTCGACGGAGGGCTGCGCTCCTGTCCGTTGAGAAGCACCGCCCCGAGGAGCTCGGACCAGCGCGTCACGGTCAGCAGGAAACGCTCCTCCCCGGTGAGACGCAGGACGCGGTCCACCAGCGCCACCCCCGTCGAAAGGAACTCGTCCGTCGTGTCTTCGCCCGTCACTGACGGCTGCGTATACTCCTGCTCACCTCCCTGTTCCCCGTCCTCCTCCTTTCGCTTGGCGTCGGTCCCGTCTTTGGAAAAGAGATATGTGAAGCGAAAGGCGGGCAACGGCGCCTTGACCAACTGCGCAATCGGCTTATATGCCAACTCCGGCGACTGACGGTGCAGGCGTACGTTCGTGAGAGCGACGCAGATGAAGCGGAAGGCGAGAAAGGCCGTATCACTGTAGTCCACTCCCCTGTACTCCCAATCGTGGTGCAGAAATTCGTCATACGCCCTCTGCTGATCCTCCGTCATATTTCCAGGGCAACCAGCGAAATGAAATCGCGACCAGCCCGCTTGTCGACATCGCACCGAGCAGAAGAGCATTGTGCAGCCACGCTCCGCAAAGACGCACCGCACCGGTCGGCGATTTGTCTGCAGCTTGGCATAAGGCAGCTTCATCGCCAAGGTCCTGCTTCCAGTGACGCGCGCCACACAACGCCGCGAACTCTCCAGTGACACGAGGCAGTTTCCGCAGACAGGAATCCCACGCAGCGTGTCATCCAGATTCTGTGAGCAACACAAGGCCGTTTCCTCGTGTACAACGTCCCCCTCAGCTATCTTCCGCCTCGAGAACAGCCCCTTCCCCTTCAGCGGGTCAGTCTTGACGCAGTAGCACCCCCCATCTGTCAGGGCGCGGTAGTACACCTCATCGTAGCTCCACGATGGCTGTGACGACGCCGTGGTGAAGGACGTGGCGAAGAACTGACGGCGAGGAACACACAGACATGCGTGCACGCAGAAAAGAAACAAACAAATAAGAAAAAAAGTAAGGGAGAAACAGCCATAGCAAGAGCAAAGAACTGAAATGGCGGCAGTGATAACCCCTCCAGAGTGGAGGGATTAAATGGACCCGCAACGCCTCTAGCAAAAGTGTGTGTTTTTGTTTTGTTTTTTACGCTGTTCCGTCTGCTTCCTTCGGGGCCTCTCCGAAAAGAAGACACTAACATCAAGGGAAACAACGGAACGCAAGGA